CTTATGGTGGTCAAGTAATTAATAAAGCTGTTGCTCAGGTCTGACTTAGAGTAGGTCCAGTAGATCGTTGGACCCATCTTGTGGTTATTTCCCCAGTGCCAGAATGCATAATTGGCATGAACATACTTAGCAGCTGGCAGAAACTCCCCCACCACCCCGATTGGCTCCCTGCCTGGTAGGGTGAAAGCTATTATGGTGGAAAAGGCCAATAGAAGCCATTAGAGCTGCCTCTACCTAGTAAAATAGTAAATCAAAAACACTATTGCATTCCTGGAGGGATTGTGGTGATTAGTGCTACAATCAAGGACTTGAAAGATGCAGGGGCAGTGATTCCCACCACATCCCCTTTCAATGCTCCCATTTGGCCTGTGCAGAAGACAGCTGGATCTTGGAGAATGAAAGTGGATTGTTGTAAGCTTAACCAGGTGGTAACTCCAATTGCAGCTACTTTATCAGATGTGGTTTCATTGCTTGAGCAAATTAACACATTTCCTGTTACCTTGTATGCAGCCACTGACTTGGCAAATGCCTTTTTCTCCATTCCTGTCCGTAAGGCCCACCAGAAGCAATTTGCCTTCAGCTGGCAAGGCCAGCAACATACCTTTACTGTCCTACCTCAGGGGTATATCTACTCTCTGCTTTGTGTCATAACCTTATTTGGAGAGACCCTGATCACTTTTCACTTCTGTAAGATATCACACTGGTCCATTATTATACTGATGACATTATGCTGACTGGATCCAGTAAGCAAGCAGCAGAAAACAAACTGGAATTACTGGTGAGATATTTGTGTGCCAGAGGATGGGAAATAAATCTGACTAAAATTCAGGGACCTACTATCTCAGTAAAATTTCTAAGGGTCCAGTGGTGTGGGCCCTGTCAAGATACTACTTGAACTGCCTATCAAGAACTGGGTGCTTTCTGACCCATCTAGCCATAATGTGAGTTGTGCACAGCGGCATTCCATCATCAAATGGCAGTGGTATATACGTGATCGGGTTTGAGCAGGTCCTGAAGGTACAAGTAAATTACATGAAGAAGTAGTTCAAATGCCCATGGTCTCCTCTCCTGCCACCCTGACTTCTCTCTCCCAGCCGGCACTGATGGCCTTATGGGGAGTTCCCTATGATCAGCTGACAGAGGACAAGACGACTAGGGCATGGTTCACAAAGGGTCTGCACGATATGCAGGCATCACCCGAAAAGTGGACAGTTGCAGCACGACAACCCCTTTCTAGAACATCCCTGAAGGACAGTAGTGAAGGGAAATCTTCACAGAGGACAGAACCTTGAGCATTGCACCTGGTCGTGCACTTTGCATGGAAGGAAAAATGGCCAGATGTGTGATTATATACTGACTCATGGGCTGTAGCCAATGGTTTGGCTGGATGGCCAGGGACTTGGAAGAAACATGATTGGAAAACTGGTGACAAATAAATTTGGGGAAGAGGTATGTAGATGGACCTCTCTTGAGTGGTCAAAAACCATGAAGATATTTCTATCTCATATGAGTGCTCACCAAGGGATGACCTCAGCAGAGGAGGAGTTTAATAATCAAGTGGGTAGGATGACTCGTTCTGTGGACACCAATCAGTCACTTTCCCCAGCCAACCTTGTCATCACCCAATGGGCCCATGAACAAAGTGGACATGGTGGTAGGGATGGAGGTTATGTATGGGCTGAGCAACATGAACTTCCAGTCACCAAGAGTGACCTGGCTACAGCCACTGTTGCGTGCCCACTCTGCCAGCAGCAGAGACCAACACTGAGCCCTCGATATGGAACCACTCCTCGGGGTGATCAGCCAGGTACTTGGTGGCAGGTTGATTATAGTGAACCTCTTCCATAACAGAAAGGGCAGAGGTTTGCCCTCACTGGAACAGACACTTCCTCCAGATATGGGTTTGCTTATCCTGCATGCAACACTTCTGCCAAGACTGCCCCGTGGACTCATAGAATGCCTCATCCAATGTCATGGTGTTCCACACAGCACTGCCTCTGACCAAGGCACTCACTTTATGGCTAAAGAAGTGCAGCACTGGGCTCATGCTCATGGAATTCACTGGTCTATGTTCCCTATCATCATGAAGCAGCTGGACTGACAGAAGGTGGAATGCTTTTTGAAGTCACAATTATGTCAACTAGGTGACAATATTTTGCAGGGCTGGGGCAAAGTTCTGCAGAAGGCTGTGTATGCTCTGAATTGGTGTCTATAATATATGGTGCTGTTTCTCCCATAGCCAGAATTCATGGGTCCAGGAATCAAGGGTAGAAGTGGAAGTGGCACCACCTACCATCACCCCTAGTGATCCACTAGCAAAATTTCTGCTTCCTGTTCCTGTGATGTTACATTCTGCTGGCCTAGAGGTCTTAGTTCCAGAGGGAGGAATGCTGCCATCAGGAGACACAACAACCATTCCATTAAACTAAAAGTTAAGATTGGCACCTGGACACTTTGGGCTCCTCCTACCCTTAAGTCAACAGGCTAAGAAGGGAGTTACAGTTTTGGCTGGGGTGACTGACCCAGACTATCAAGATGAAATCAGTCTTTTACTCCACAACAGAGGTAAGGAAGAATATGCATGGAATAGAGGAGATCGATTAGGGTGTTTCTTAGTATTACCATGCCCTGTGATTAAGGTCAATGGGAAACTACAACAGCCCAATCCAGGCAGGACTACGAATGACCCAGAGCCCTCAGGAATGAAAGGTTTGGGTCACTCCACCAGGCAAAACCCCACAATCTGCTGAGGTACTTGCTGAAGGCAAAAGGAACACATAATGGGTAGTAGAGAAATCATCAATACCAGCTACAGCTATGTGACCAGCTGCAGAAATGGAGATTGTAATTGTCATGAGTATTTCCTCCGTCTTTTGCTAAAAACACATTTGTGCATGTATATACTTGTACTAAACAAGTATCTTTATTTCCTTTTCCATTATGTAACATAAGACTTTTTGACTTCATATCAGCATGTAAGTAGTTAACTTTATGTAATAGTATTTGGGTGGGGAACTGGTGCATTTCTGGTTGTACGAAAAATAGCTGTATTTTGTCAGGCATAATTATGACCTTATTATTGTCTTTATTTGAAGATTATATATGATCTCAGGAGATACGTATGGGTTCAAGTTGACCAGGGGTGGACCTGTGACGGTGAATACTGAGTGTCAACCTCACTGGATTGAAGGATACAAAGTATTGATCCTGGGTGTCTCTGTGAGGGTGCTGCCAAAAGAAATTAAACATTTGAGTCAGTGGGCTAGGGAAAGCAGATCCACCCTTCATCTGGTGAGCACAATCTAATCAGCTGCCAGCGAATATAAAGCAAAATGTGAAAAGGAGAGACTGGCCTAGCCTCCCAGCCTACATCTTTCTCTTGTGCTTGGTGCTTCCTGCCCTCTAACATCAGACTCCAAGTTCTTCAGTTTTGAGACTCTAACTGGATCTCCTTGCTCCTTGAGCTTGCAGACAGCCTACTATGGGAAAGCATAAGTTAATACTTAATAAACTCCCCTTTATATATATATATATATATATATATATATATATATATATATATATATATCCTATTAGTTCTTTCACTCTAGACAACCCTAATACACCAACTTAAAAGTCAGAATCCTTGAAATACAAAATGATTATCTACATAAACATTCCTAGAAGTTGTTAATAATAACAGTCTACTTTTGTAGATAAATGGCGGGTCTACCTGCTCTAATTTATGCCTATCCTTGAAAGTTAATGAAATTCTAATACTGAAGAAGATCCCATGGGACAAATTAACTTTGGATTTCCCCTTTAAGAATATAGTAAAAGGCCAGATGTGGTGGCTCATGCCTATAATCCCAGCACTTGGGAAGTGAGGTGGATTGCTTGAGCCCAGGAGTTCCAGACCACCCTGGCAAACTGGTGAAACCTTGTCTCTACAAAAAAATACAAAAAATTAGCCAGGCATGGTGGCACAGCCTGTAGTGCCAGCTACTCAGGAGGCTGAGGTGTGAGGATTGCTTGAGCCAGGAAGGTTGAGGCTGCAGTTAGTTATGATTGCACCATTGTACTCCAGCCTAGGGAACAGAGCAAGACTCTATCTCAAAACAACAACAAAATACAGTGACAATGGAGGAAATGCATTCACCTTTACAGATAAGACTATTAAATTTTTTTCTCAATGTTTTCTGACAACTGAAATGTTATGATTACATCTAGAAATAGAAAAATATTATGGAATCATGATGTAGAGCCTAAAAAAAAAATACACACACACACACACACACACACACACACACACACAGATATATAAAATATACAAAAAATACTGTCAGATAAAGACAAGTTAAAACACCTTTTAAGTATAAGGAAACATATCTTTTCTTTGTCTAGAAGTCTGAAATATCCAAGTTTCGTAATCCTACTAGAGGTCCAAGAAAGTCAATATTTGGTATGCACACATTTATATAAAAATGGCTCTTCTGCTGTTAACAGTTGAGTTACGTGAAACATGGAAACACTACATAAGACCCAGCTATGACAAGAGATGGAGTATCTTATTTAAAAAGGATCACTTTTTAATTATTAAACCTCCTGCTTAGAAAGACCGTATTAAGTAGAATGTATAGATCAATGTCACAATTGCAAACACATCATAAGATGACTACTCTCCAGTGACCCAGTCCTTCTAATGTAATTAAAGTGTCCCTAAAATCCTCCTCCACAGGACAAGGAGGACTATTTGGAAATGAAGCATGCTTACAAAAGTCCTCTGTTAAGGACATAAAACTAGCTTAGCTTTGCCCTCAACAACCAGCAGGTAGAAACAGCACTTGAATTTAGGTAAAGGTTAGTGGAACGGATTTCTGAAGCTCATCTAAATTTGGGGAAAACAAAACACAATGCATGGGCTATGTCATCACCAGTGGAGCACAAATACCCCTTAGAGAGGCTTCCCCGTCACTGGACTTCACCATGTTCAGTCAGGGCAGAAAGGATCCCAGTATTACCTTCAACTGCTCTAAGGCAAAAGATGAACCATCTTGCTCTAAGTTTTGAATAATCTGTTCCACAGTATTGGCTGAAAAACAACTATAAAAAAAGGAAATGTGATTTCACCAGTGTGCAAGTGATTTCCTGTTTCTAACATACTGATGAATCTGAATGTAGGCTTTCCCCCACCTCTATTTCAATAATTAAGAATTGTCTAATCTCTTTGAACAGGATGTAAAAAGAAACAGAGCATTGCTTCCCTGGGTAAGCATTTGTAGCCTACATTCATTAATACAAAATAAAACCTAAATTTTATTTTTTCTTTTGCATTTTTGCATCTATATTTCTCTGTAAAGAAATAATTCAACTACAAAAAGTAGATGCTCTTAAATAGTAGAGATGGTTGTCTTATTTTGTAATACTTTTCTTCCTGTTTCCCAAAGCCAGTCTGTCAATCTCTCAAATCACTGCAAAAAACCTTTTTTGCTGATCAGCTTGATAAGACCTTCAGAGAAGATAAATTTAAAAAGATAAAAGTTAATTCAATTATTTTCTAGTTTCTCTTCCCCACTTAAGAAAACAATTATTTTAAACTAACATGAATTTGAATCACTGCATAAAATCTTTTTGCTGGTCAGCTTGGTAAGATCTTCAGAGAAGATGAATTTATAAAGATAAAAGTTAATTCAATTATTTTCTAGTTGCTCTTTCCCCCTTAAAAAAAAAAGATATTCTGTACTAAGATGAATTCTTACAGTAGACTACTAAATATAATGAAGTTATTTCACCTGGTAAGAAGCAGCAGCTACTTTCAAAGGTAAGTGAGAAATGCCCTTTGCTGGTAGGGTGTGGTGACTCACGCCCATAATCCCAACACTTTGGGAGGCCAAGGTGGGTGGATCACCTGAGGTCAGGAGTTGGAGACCAGCCTGGCCAACATGGCCAAACCCTTGTCTCTACTAAAAATACAAATGTTAGCCAGATATGGTAGCAGGCACCTGTAGTCCCAGCTATTCAGGAAGCTGAGGCAGAAGAACTGCTTGAACCTGGGGTAGGGAGTGGGGGGCCTCGAAGGTTGCAGTGAGCCGAGATCTCGCCACTGTATTATTTCAGCCTGGGGGACAGAGCAAGACTGTCTCAAAAAAAAAAGAAAGAAAGAAAGCTCTATGCTATCTCAGAATTCAATGCACTAACAAACACAAGGTAATTCTAATGGTAATTAATGGTAATTATTAAAAAAATCTAAGGTTAGCAAGTTCATTTTAATATAGTCTTTGCAAAGGAATATATAACTGAGATCTAATTTTTAAGTACCTGTTAATTTTGTCCATGTGTTCCTCAAGTATAAAAGACTTGTCTCGATCAATCTTACACTGTTTGAAAAGAAAAATCTTTTAATAAATTTGAACACAATATTTTAATCCTTAAAAATTCATTATATTTAATGATACACCTTGTGAAACATTGTCACTTATTCCTTTCAGTCAAATTACATCTAACAGTCTCATAAATAACTACCATTGTATGATCAAAATTCAGACAGCATACAGAACTCTAGCTCTTAAAAGTTATCAATGGCAAAAATGTTCTAATATCTTTATTTACATGTATAAATATTTGTAATCACTAATACATTTGACACATTATTATTAAAATGTATCTGTGAAGTTAAGGATTGTACGGGACCTGAAAGGTCAACCTGCCCAAATTTTCATACTAGCGAGAAATTTCCACCACATGCCTGGTATCTCTGCAACTCTGACCTTCAGAGAGAGAAAACAGCACCTCAGGGAAGAGCTCACAAATGCTGGAACTGAATAATTAGGTTTCTGTTGTTGTTTTAATTCTGGAACAAAAACCAATTCTAGCATGTTTATAGTTGTGGTTAATTTCTTTCACCTTAACCATTTCCCACATGGTGCAGTTTTGTGTCCCCTCATAATCCGGGTCCTTCTTATGGACAAGTTGCAATTTTTCAAAGTCATTCTTCAACTATGGGGCACATATCTTAGTTGTGGGTGTGGCTGGCTCGTAGCAAAGTACAAGAGGGCTCTGCATGACCTTGATTGCTTTGGATATACTTTTCTTAACTGGACTAACTCTGAGTTAGTGTTGAGATAGGCCTATGGTTACAGCTGATTCACACTAAGTTCCAATTAAATAAGAATTTTCTGTTTTTCAAACATGTGCCATTGTAGGCTGTGTTTCTCCTATTCTGCACTTTTGAATTTAGTACTTTGGGTTAAAACACAAGATTTGCACTTATCTTATTAAATTTCACATTGTTACTATTGACCAGAGCACTCTAAACTCTTAAGAGTTTTTTTTTTTCATCCATATTATTTTTCCTTATTTTTCTTAGTTCTAAATCAACTTGATCAAAATGCTATCAGTGGTCTCCAAATCACTTGAGAAAAGTACTAAGTCTTAGATGACTTCCCTACATAGTAACACCTATACATTTAGTAGAATTCTTTAATAAGGCCTTTAACCCCTCCACAAACCATAATTCATCCCATATTTACTCAATTCAACAACAGGAGACTATCAAATGCTCTGATAAAAACAAGTGAAATCCTCATGTGCTCTGTATTCATATTCTGTGCACCAAGTACTCAGTGGCCCTGCCAATCTGTACTCATGTTCTCCAGTTCTAGGTAATGTTGTCAGTACTATTTCTCTAAATATTTCCTTCCCTCTATGTTCTCTATTATGAATTCCTAATAATTAGATTTTAGACCTCCTGCAATAACACCTCTGATTTTCCATTGTCTCCTTTTTCTGTTTTATTATCCTTTTCTGTTAGCTTTCCTCAACCATAGATTTTAGTCTGTTGTGGGTTTTTTACTTCCCATTTTGTTATCACTTTTAAAATTTTACAGGTATAACCACTGCCAAGATCAGCCAGTAGCCATCAACATCTAGGCAAGACCCTTCACTAGTAAAATGATTATGACTAACTTAAATTCAGATGATCATTAGTATTTTTACCTAATTTAATTATTTAATAATTATAAATAAGATATGTACTTGTGTTTAGACATGATGTTCTTGCACACTTAATACACTTTTTACAGTATAGTGTAAAAACTTTTATGAGCACTGGAAAACAAAAACATCCATGTGACTAGCTTTATTGTCATGGTCTGGAACCAAACTCAGATTATCTCTGAGGCATGCCTATATTATTCTTTGAATTACCTTTATAGCATCCATTGTTGTTTCATAGCTAAAATATTTTCCTCTTATCTCAAGATGATAGTTATAGATTGGTGTTTGTTTTTTCAAGTTCCCTTGTTCTTGCATTGTCTGCTTCCTTCCAGTGCCTTTGTTGTTTGTTTTGGCCTTGAAATATTTGTTTTTCTATGCAAAGCACTAAAATTAGGAAGCTTTGTGTCTAATGTCAATTGTAGTTATGGGATTCTCAACTGTAGGATACATTATAAGATGATCAGTCAGATGTGTTATTAAGACATGTCAATGTCTATGGGGTTTTTTTCTTCCAATGTATTGCTTAGCAGTGGGGTGGGATGCAGCCGTTCTGCAAGTCAACTAAGGAAAAGGGACAGAGGTCTTCCAATTTACTTATATCTCATCTCTTTTCAGTACAGTACTTCACTTATCTCTACCCTCAGCTAGACCTGCCTGATTTGGTTTCTCTAAGGAGTCAGTCTATACTCTTTCTGACAGGTTATTGGAAGACGGCTACTCTTAGTTGTACAAGAAGATTTGTGGAGGGGCTGGGCACAGTTCTCATGCCTGCAATCCCAGCACTACAGAAAGCCAAGGAGGGCAGATCATTTGAGGTCAGAAGTTAGATACCAGCCTGGCCAACACAGTAAAACCCTGTCTCTACTAAAACACAAAAATTAGCTGGGCATGATGGTGCATCCTTGTAAGCCCAGCTACTCGGGAGGCTGAGGCACCATTGCTTGAACCTGGGAGGTGGAGGTTGCAGTGAGCTGAGATCGTGCTACTGCACTCCAGCCTGGATGCCACAGCGAGACTCTGTCTCAAAAAAAAAGCATAACTGCTTTTTAAAACTTATCAGAAATCTTCCTTTTCTTCTGCCCCATTCTATATTCTAGTCTTTAGAGGGACCTGGTCCCATTATAAGGGTCTACAGCAAGAATCAGTTGACTTCTTATTGGCTTTCAGAGGTCTTTGGTTTAAGTTAGCAGCACTCATCCTTCTGATTTCAAGCTTCCAAAATACTAAAATCTCATGTCTGCCACTGTCTTCTCTTCTGTTCTACTTGTCTTTGTGAGTTTATGCCTTTTTTATTCATTAATTATAATTTTGAATGGTTTTAGGAGGCAACATGTATGCAATCATGTTTATCTAGAAACTATGTAGTGTTTTTAAAGATTCTCAGCTCTTACATGAAAATTTAAGTCAGACAACATAAGGAATCAAAAATAAATGCTGCAATATACTTTATTAAATATAAATAAATGTCAAGATTTTACAGCTCCACAAATACTGTTAATATTAAACACCTACTACAGAAATGCCAAAACCCTTGCAAAGAATGATAAGAAGGCTATGCACCGAAGTTAACCAGCAGTGGCAACACAGCTATGCAACTGCACAGGAAAGAAGTCATCTTGTTAGCTGGTTATGGTTATAACAACTGTGAAGCACTGATTCTTCTACCACGCTTTAAGTAAATAAATCCTTAGTACATTTATTTACATTTACAAACTATAATATTTACCAACTGCTAATTTTTTAATTACTTCTCCTCCCCATGAATTAAAACCTGAGGTTAAGAGTATTAACAAGATTACCTCTGTATGGTAATTTTCTAAGACAGCTGCAACATTTTCTTTTGAAGGCGATTTCAAGGCTAACAAATCTTCCTCTAACATGCCCAACTAAAGGGGAGAAAAAAAAAGGCAAGATCTGAAATCAAACAGAAACACAGAAAGCTTCACAAAAATCTCTTCTTTTTTAGAGTCCTTGTCTTTAAATTATGATGCTCTTTCTTCAGCTGGTTAACTGAAAGAAATTTTGACCGAAGTTGAATAAACAGGTATTCCCCACACAGCAAATGTAGCCTTCAAAGGAAGGGATAAAGATGGAAGAAATTGAGGAGACACAGAAACATTTATCTTTGTTTCTCTTAGTCTATTGAGCACTTGCAACCAAAGACCTAAATTATAAATTTTATTTTTAATTAACTTTAACAAAAATTGCCACAAATGATTAGTGGCTACCATAGTCAATGCACAACACTGTAATACAGCTTCACTTATTTCTCCATCTAATCCCTCAATCCTACCTTGAGCCAAATAAGACTTTTAACTGTTCCCAAAATATAGCTAATGGTTTCTTGCCCCTGTGGTTTCATTAAATGTTTCCTTTACCTGACAATACCTTTTCCTGATATACTCACCTTAAGGCCAGCTGTACTGCAAACTTTACAAAAAAGCTTCTAGTCCTTTCTTATGGGTAAGCTCTTCCTCCTGTGAATTCTTTGAGTATTTTCTTTGTACTATTTTTACACTTACCACACTTTACACCTCTGCCAGATGAGAAAAATGGTTATTTATCTTTTGTACCCACTTCTAATCCCACCCCCAAAGTATAGTCCTCCTTTTTGTATCCTCCACAGGCCCTGAGAATGCATCTATTCACTGCAGATACTAGTATTGAACACACTGACAAAAAAAGAAATGGTTATGCACCAGGTCTCTCTCTTCTACTAAACTAAATTCCACTGTAATCAAGGGTGTCCCTTCCAGACAGGATCATCCCATGCCCATGTTTCATTCCTGCTATATAGCTCAAGGGAAGCATGAGACAGCTGCCTGTTCAACGTGACTGAGGATGCCCAGAACACAGAGAAAGATCTGAATCTTCAGCCAAATGTAACAGAAAATCCTCATAACAGTGTACAGAGACAACCTTCAATTCTGCATACCTCATACATTTTACATAATCTGTTTAACAGTGTGAGAAATGAGACCAAAGTTCATCAACATAAAAATTTCCACAGCCATTATAAAGTTTGTGAATTCTATTAGTGACCAAACAGTACGTTTTTATGCTATCTAGCTGTTCTACTTCAATGGCCAAAGAGGATGTGTGAGACTAAATCATGATCCTTTGTAAAAAGTCCTTGGGTGGACTCACATTCTAGGCCAACTGTCAATATAAACTCTGGTATCATTACCCAAAACAGAAGAAAGTTATAGATATGAGGATAAAACAGACCATCCTCCATAATATAAAAGAGACTCTCAATGAAAAATCTGGTCACCTCCAAAAATATAAAACTGCATTAAAAATATTAATAATAGTAAGATTTTGAGTGTTTACTATATGTCAGTTACTGGGCGAAGCATGTAACATAATATTTTCTAATTTAATTTTTATAGCTTTCCTTCCTCTATACAAAAACACCCTTCCCTTAAGACCAGATATTTATCTGATGACCACGTGCTTCCTAGGAAGCTGACTTTACCCCACAGATCCAAGAATAGAGCGTGCATTACTTAGATAAGCCAGTTGGTACATTCTACCTACCCATATGGTTCAAGAATGAGATAAGACAGTCTAGTCAGAATGAACTAAGCCAGGTGAAGCAAAACACATCCTAAGTCTCTTGCTGGGTCATCTGGGGCAAAACTACCTTGAATTGGGTCATCTGTCACATGTAACACAAGCAGTTTCAACTATTATTGTAAGAGTGTCATCTCCATTCTGCAGATGGAGAAGTGGCGGGGCAAAAGAGGCTCAATTCCAGTTAAGATTTAAACTCAGACTATCTATATATTCTTTGCCACTACATTATCCTGTGCTGAGAAAACTGGCCACACTGTTGTTGTTTTTTTTTAAAAAAAAGCAAAGATAACATGTGTTCCTTGTAACAGATACATTTTTAAAAAGTCAAATGCAATTATTTTCAATGTACTAGGGAAATTCATAACCAAAAGAAGCCTTCAAAATGTCCTCATAAAATAAAAGCCTATCTCTTTATATATAAATTTAATTTGTACATATTAGACTTTCTTAAGGTAGGCATGACTTTTTTTAATAGACTCTAATTGTTCATTTAAAAATACTCACTGAAGGTGCCAACCCTGAATCCAGGTATCATTATCTCCAGTTTGCTTATGAGGAAACAGAATTAGAGTGCTCATGCACTTTTTCCAAGGTAACACGGCTATAAGCTAATAGGTCCAGGACTCACACCGTGATTCCACCAAAGTCTGTGGATCTCAACTACCCATGTACTTTCCCATGCACTATTTTGTTTTGTTATTCCAACATTATAAAATGCAAACATCCAAAAAAGTACCTTTTCAGAATCTACAAAGTGTGTAGCAATTCCTGCTCTGTACACATCTCTTCCTTTTAGTCTGAATCCTGTTAATGCCAGGAAGTAACCAAGTTTTCCTTGAAGTCGTGGCAAGAAATAACCTCCGCCCACATCAGGGAACAGTCCTGTAATTAAATGTAACAAAAAGAGATAATGGTGATTCAAATGAAAAAGATAAATATAACCTCTTTGCTGTAGATCACACAATCATTTCTCTCTGGAGCTTGAATCTACAGTACAAACATTATTAAACTAAGTACTGTGCAAAGCAATCAATATCACAAAAGACTTTCTATAAACTGTGCTGACTTAACTTGGGTATTTTTCAAAACTTTCATGTCTCATTTCTATAGAATACAGTAAAGTATTTGATGACACAATGTTTTGTACATTAGAAGTACCCAATAATGTTGCCTAAATTTTTTTTTTTTTTTTTTGAGACAAAGTGTCACACTGTTCCCAGGCTGGAGTGCAGTGGTGTGATCTTGGCTCACTGTAACCTCTGCCTCCCGAGTTCAAGGGATTCCACTGCCTCAGCCTCCTGGGTGCTGGGACTGTAGGCACATACCACCACGCCTGGCTACTTTTTTGTATTTTAGTAGAGATGGGGTTTCACCGTATTGGCCAGGATGGTCTCGATCTCCTAACCTCATGATCCTCCCACCTCAGCCTCCCAAAGTGCTAGGATTACAGGCATGAGCCACTGCGCCTGGCCAATGCTACCTAAATTTTCTTACCACTGATTTATTTTTGAAGAATGTCCAAAATAGGTAAAAACTTCAAAAACTTTATTTCCAAATGAGCACAGGAAGAAAATATATAACCTATGGTCTATTATAGAAAAAGTATTACCATTTAAATCATTTCCCAAACTTAGTCAATTATCTAATATTCAAGATGTTTAACTATTGATACAATAACCACGAGTCCCATTAAACGAAAAATTTTAGACCTAAGAAAATCATTTGCATTTAGCCTTTCATTAACCATCAGTATTTAAAAATTCTCTCTTTACTGGTAACAACTGAAAATAGCATATATACAAGTAATTACCAGCATACTCCTCTGGGTGTTTAAGATCTTAAACAACAGTGACCCTCTAATTTTATAATTTATGTATCTGTTCTAAAGTTTCATTTAATTATGTTGGGATAAAAACACAAGCACTGAAATTCTCTCCAGTTCTACTTTACAAAAAGGTTCTAGACTTAAAAAAAAAAAAAAAGAAAGAAAAAGAAAAAGCAGCAGGCTCCCATAAACTAAAATATCTCTCAGTACTTCAAACTAGCTAGGTCTCAAGTAAATTCATAACCTCCCCGCGCCATTCCCACAATCTTCCTCCAGCATCACATACCTTAGTAAAGGGTGCAACTCTCCAGTCTCGACACCATCTTGTACCAGCCCCTTAATCCCCATCAATAACCACATCCATTGATTTCCCCTCTAAACCGTTCTCCACACAACAGCCAAAGTGATCTTTTTAAAACACAAATCCATACCAGAGTCTTGCATTCTACTGCTTAAAACCCTCCCATGGCTGCCTATTTCTCCTGGATTAAAACAAACAGCTTTATCAAAGTCTTCAAGGCCCCTGACCACTTTTTCCGCTACATCCCTTAGTACTCACTTTTTATACTCCAGCCCTTTTGGTCTTCTTTTAGTTCCCCAACACTCTACACTCCTTCCTACTTCAGAGCCTCAGAAGCATGCTGCCCAAGTGGAAAAAACCCTCCATCCAGACAACACACTCTTTTCTTCCAGGGTGCCAGATTCTCTCTTTCTTTCCCCCTTTCCCCAATTCTGCTTTCCAGTCTCCCTTGCTGGCACCACCTCCTCTGCTTGACCTCTTTCTCACTGTGCCTAAGCTCCATATTAGGCTACCTCTTCTTTCCTACATACAGATTTTCCTTAAGGCCTATGACTTTAGATAGCATCTATATGCTGATTACTCCCTGCTATGGACTGCACTGTGTCCTTCCAAAAAGTCCTATGTTAAAGCCCTAACTCTTGATGTAACTGTATTTGGACAGGGTCTTTGAAGAGGTAATTAAGGTTAAGTGAGGTCATAAGGGCAGGGTCCTAATCCAACAGGATTGGTGTCCTTATAAGAGAAGGAAGGGACACCAGGGATGCATATGAACTGAGAAAAAGCCGTATGAGGACACAGCAAGAAGGCAGCCGTCAGAGGGCTCAAGAGAACCATCTTTGACACCTTGATCTCAGCCTTTCAGTATTCAGAACAGTGAGGAAAAAAAATTCTGCTGTTTAAGCCACCAAGTAATGTAATAACCTCTTATGCAATCTCACTGCTTCTACTCTGCTACCCCTACAATCCATTATCCTCAAGCTGTCAGAATCATGGTATTAAAATATAAATACAAACTATATTATGCCATTTCCTGCTTTACACTCTTTCACAACTTCCCATATTTAGGTTTAAATCTTAGCTCTTCACCAGAGGCCCCCATGTACCCTTTCAAGAACATGTTACATCACTCCTGCCCTTAATCCAGACACAGGTGCCTCCATTTGGTTCCTTGAGCACCCCAAGTTCCTTCTTATCTAAGGGTCTTGAACTAACTCTTCTCAATGCCACAATATTCTGCTCTCAGTTCTTAATGTAGCTGACACTTTCTTGTCATTAAAATCTCAGCTTAAAGGAGGACTCCTCTGAGAGCATCTTTCATTATCCAATTTAAAGTAGCCGTCTGGGAGACTTATGCTTTGGACAAGATAGTGTAATGGGAACCAGACTTATCCCCCTACATGAAACAACTATAAAAAACAGACACAATATATGGATCAATCGTGTTTTCAACACACTGAACATCAAGGAATAAAGAAAAGTGGTTTCTGAGTATCAGAAAGCAAGCAAGGTAAACCCTAGAACAGCTCCAGCTTCATGCCCAGCACAGTCCCTCATTTGAAAAGATGAAGCTAAGAGTCCAGGAAAACCAAAACAGCTAGAATTCCCAGAACAGAGTACCAGAGCAGACAAAGCTGCAGAGAGAAAGCTCTGGAGATCTGCAAGTTGTCTCTTTTAAGTACTTAGCTTATGAATGGACAATACGCGTGCATGCGTGCGTGTGTGTATGCACTCACGCACATGTGCGTGTATGTAAAGAAACTACATGATTAGTCAAGTTTTCACACTGCCAGAGGCTGGGTAATTTATACAGGAAAGAGGTTTAATTAACTTACAGTTCCACATGGCTTAGGAGGCCTCAGGAAACTTACAATCATGGCAGAAGGCAAAGCAAGCTTGGACCTTCTCACAAGGCAGGAGGAGAGAAAAGAGTAAGGAACAAAGTGGGAAGAGCCCCTTATAAAACCATAAGATCTCATAAGAACTCACTATCATGAGAACAGCATGGGAGAAACTGCCCATGAACCAATCACTTCCTACCAGATCTCTCCCTGGACACATGGGGATTACAATTCAAGATGAGATTTGGGTGAGAACACAATGCCTAACTGTATCACTACATGAGATTAAGGAAAGAACCACAGAAAATGATTATAGAGAACAGTAGTGGGAACCCACACAGGACCGAAAACATCATGTTCCCCACCAACTGGACTAGAAAAACTCATGATTGATGTCATGGGGCACTGCACAGAATACAAAGTAAGATCTTGCCCCAGTAGTGGGAAATAATTAGCCCCAGTTAGAGAACTGCTCCAATCCTGCAAGAAAATAATCTTATAATGCTTGAAAATATTAAGATGTTTCCCAGGAATTTAAATTAATCTCAGAATAAATCTCAAAAATATTTAAAAGAACACAAAAATATCTAGCACCCAATAAAGTAAAGTTTACAATATCTAAAATTCAATAAATTACCAGCTATCTTAAGATGCAGGAAAATAGTAATCATAAAGAGGTGATTTTAAAAAAGAACATAAATGTAAGAACTAGCAGACAAAAACATTAAGGCAGTTACCATAAATATAACCTATGTGTTCAAAAAGTTAAATAAAGACAAAGAAGATTTCCCTTTTTAAAAGAACCAAATCATACTTCCAGAGATGAAAACTGAAATGAATGTATAAGCTTAAAGATACCTGGATGAGATTAAGGGCAGATTAGATCTTGTAGAAGAAAAGATTAATATAGAGGAACAGAAACTAAAATGAAAGAGAGAAAAAAAATTTAAATGAATGAAACATAAGTGAGCCTTATAGAAGTATAACTAGAATTCCTGAAAAGGGAATGGGTGAAAGAAAAATATTTGTAAAAATAATGGCAAAAATTTTTCCAAATTTGACAGAAATTATAAACCTAAATAGCTCAACCACCACAAGCATTAGAAATATGAAGACCACCAAAGCACAACATCATCAAATGCCTTGAAACATATGATCAAGAGAAAATCTTAAGAGCAGCCAGAGAAAATAAAAAGACACAGAGGAACAAAAATAAGGATGAAAGGAGACATTTCGTAGGAAACAATGTAAATTAGAAGACAGTGTAGTAACATCTTCAAATTACTGAAATTAAAAAACAGAGTAGAATCAAATTCCATACCCACATCTCATACAAGTCAACTCAGGTTTCACCTGAGGAAATGAGACAAAGAAGAGCAAACAAAATCTAAAATAAGCAGAAAAAAGGAGGAATAAATACTGGAGCAGAAATCAGCAAAGCAGAAAATGAAAACAAGAATCTGTTTTTTTAGAATAAACCTCTAACTAGATTGATCAGGGAAAACAAGAGAAGACACAATATCAAGAATAAGAGAGCCATAAATCACTACAGAGTCTACAGATACTAAAAAGATAATAAGGGAATATAATTGTCTTAGTCCATTTTGTGTTGTTATGACAGAATACCACAAACTGGGGTAATTTAGAAAAAAAAATTATTTTTCACAGTTCTGGAGGCTAAGAAGTCCAATATCAAGATGCCAACATCACATGAGGGCGTTCTTGCTGCATCAACCCATGGCAAAAGGCAAGAGTGACAAAGAGTAAAAGAGCAAGAGGAAAGGGGGCTGAAGTCATCCCTGTATCAGGAACCAACATGCAATAACTAACCCACTTCCAAGATAATGGCATTGATCCATTCATGAGGGCACAGCCCTCATAACCTACTCACCTATTACAGGTTCCAACTTGCAACACTGAGTTGGGAATTAAGTTTCCAACATGTGAACTTCAGGAGATACATACAAAAAAAGCAATTATAAACAACTTTATGCCAATAAATTAACAAATTCCTTGAAAGGCCCTGATACGGTTTGGCTCTGTGTCCCCACTCAAATCTCATGTTGAACTGTAATCCCCAGTGTTGGATAAGCGGCCTGATGTGGGGGGTGACTGGGTCAGAGGGACAAATTTCCCCCTTGTTCTCATCTGGTTGTTTTAAAGTGCATAGCACTTCCCACTTCTGTCTCCCACTGGCCATATGAAGACACACTTGCTTCCCCTTCATCTTCCACCATGAGTGTAAGTTTCCTGAGGCCTCCCCAGTCATACTTCCTGTACAGCCTGTGGAACTGTGAGCCAATTAAACCTCTTTTCTTTATAAATTACCCAGTCTCAGGTAGTTCTTTATAGCAATGTGAGAATGAACTAATACAGAAAATTGGTACCAGAGAAGTAGGTCATTGCTATCAAGACACCTGAAAACGTAGAACTTACTTGAGAACTAGGTAATGAGCAGAGATTGGAATGGGTTGCCTCTTCACTCTAATTGTTTTCTCAGAAATCTACAAATTTCTACTTTTTTTTTTTTTTTTTTTTTTTTTCCTTTTAGTGACATGGTCTGGCTGTATTGCCCAGGCTCGAGTACAGTGGTGTGATCTCAGTTCACTGCAGCTTCTGCTTCTCAGGCTTAAGCCATCCTCTAACCTCTGCCTCCTGAGTAGCTGGGACCACAGGTGCACACCACCACACCCAGCTACATTTTGTTATTTTTGCAGAGATGGGGTTTTGCCATACAGATTTTCCCTCCTTGGTTAAATTTATTTCTATGTATTTTATCGTTTTTGATACTTTTGTAAATGAAATTGTTTACTTTTCAAATAGTTTATTGTTAGTGTATAGAAATGCTACTGTTTTTATGTGTTGTTTTATATCCTACAGCTTTACTGTATTTATTTTTTAGTTCAAACAGTTTTTTGCTGGAGCTGTTAAGAGTTCTCTCTATATATCTATATCTATATCTATAATCTATATCTATATATATACACACACATAATATATGTATTTTTATGTTAAGGGATATATTTTTCATTTAAGATCAGGAACAAGACAGCATGTCATCAGCAGTGACAGTTTCACCTCTGCTTTTCTTGTTTGGATGCCTTTTATTTCTTTCTCTTGCCTAATTGGTCTGACAAGAACTTTCAATACAGTATTAAATAGATACGATGAGGGCGGGCATCACTGTCTTGTTCCTGATCTTAAATGAAAAATATATCCCTTAACATCAAAATTAATTGGTAAAAGACTAAATGCTTTCCCCTAAAATCAGAAACAAGGAAAAAAATGTTCACTCCCACCACTTCTATCCAACATTGTACTGGAAGTTCTATTCTATGCAATAGAGCGAGACAAAGAAATAAAAGGTATCAAGATTAGAAAGGAAAAAATCTAACTGATCTTGTAAATGACACTTGTAAATGACATACAAAAACACTTGTAAATGACATAATTGTCTCTTTAGGAATTCCAGTAGAGTAGAATCAAATCTATTCTAAAGCAACTAATACCAATAAGTGAGTTTAGTAAGTCTGCATGATAAAGGTAAATTTAAAAAATCAACAGTATTTCTATAGCCTAGTAACTAACAATTAGAACTGAAAGTTTTTTCAAAACCATCAATATGAAATACTTTTATGAATAAATCTGACAAAACACCTATAAACTGAAAACTAAAAATCCATGCTGAGAGAAATTAAAAACCACTTACATAAATGGAGAAATATATCTTACTCACAGGTCTAAAAAGACTAAATAGTGTTAAGATGTCAATTCTCCCTAACTCCATCTTCAGGTTTTTTTGTTGAAATTGACAAGAGACTCTAAAATACATATGGAAATATAAAGAACCTATATAGCCAAAGCAACTTGGTGGGATACAAAAAACAAAGGCGGAACATTATCACTACCTGATTTTAAGACATACTATAAATTTAGCAACAGTAACCAAGATAACATGGTGTCAGCACTATGATCAACATTTACAGACAACTATAACAAAGCTACACAAGCAATTCAGTGGCAAAACAATACCCTTTGAACAGTTAGGTACTGGAGTGATTGTACTTCCATATACAAAATAAACTTGGACTTATATTGATGATTGATACCCCTCACCATATACAAAAATTAACTGAAAACTGCCATGATAATTTTTATAACAACTCAAAACAGTATAGATCTAAAAGTAAAAAATATATTCCCTTAATGATCTTTTACCTATAGTGTTCATCTTTTATTTATACTGTGTTAATGTCTCCTTTAATATTCTGTTTTGTGTTTTCAGATACAATTGAGCTAATAGACACTTCTAAGTATTTAATTTTTTAAAAATATTTTCACTATAGTATCTCACACAAGAGTCCATCAGTTCCTTCAACAACAGTAAACTCTGAAAGGTTTCAAAAAAAGATGATGCTAAAAGTAATTTAAAAAGAAAATTTGGTTGTTTACCTATTGCTGTTTCTGGCATGGCAAAAACACACTTTTCTGTAGCCACTCGAAATTGCCCATGGACTGAAACACCAACTCCCTAAGGGGAAAAAAAAAGGCAAAAAAGGTAGGGTGGGGGCTTAAACATATTGTTAAAAAACAAATTCACACACTCACAAATATTACAAAGCAAGTAAATTATCTTTATACGTCACAGGAACCTGCTTCAGGAGATAGCTTGTCCCCATCACCTTCAATTAACTTCGAATTCTACAAACATCACACGACTATATTCCCCTTTATTAAACATTTACACACAAAGTTAAAGTCTGACCACACCCCCATCCTAGTCTGGTCATTCTCTTTCTCCACAGAGACACATAGCTATTATCAATTTGGTAAGTAACCTACAGATTTTTTTCCCTGTGCATTTCTTATATTTGAACAAATGTGTATATTTATCTGATATATATTTAAGAATATATACAACTATACATACATAAAACTCACACTCTATTCCAAGTGTCCCCAAACTTTTTACACAGGGGGCCAGTTCACTGTCCCTCAGACCGTTGGAGGGCCGCCACATACTGTGCTCCTCTCACTGACCACCAATAAAAGAGGTGACCCTTCCTGAAGTGCGACGAGGGGCCAGATAAATGGCCTCAGGGGGCCGCATGCGGCCCGCAGGCTGTAGTTTGGGGACGCCTGCTCTGTTCCATGGCCTGCAAGGCTCTATATCACCTGGCCTAGACTACCTCTTTGCCTTTATCTCCCATCACTGTTCCCACACTCATTCCACTAGCCATGCAAGCTTTGTTCCATTCCTCCAAAATTTTAAGCTTTTACAATCTCAATTAATCATAAAACTTATTTTTGGAGATGGAGTCTCACTCTGTCACCCAGGCTGGAGTGCAGTGGCACAATCTCGTCTCACAGCAACCTCCACCTCCCGGGTTAAAGCAATTCTCCTGCCTCAGCCTCTTGAGTAGTTGGGATTACAAGCACCCACCACTGTGTCCAGCTAATTTTTGTATTTTTAGTAGAGATAAGTTTCAGCATGTTGGCCAGGCTGGTCTTGAGCTCCTGAGCTCCGGTGATCTGCCCAACGTGGGCACCGCAGCCTCACAAAGTGTTGGGATTACAGGCGTGAGCCATCTCACCCAGCCAATCATAAAACTTCTAAATCAAGGAAGACATATACGAGAAGGCCACTGCCTGCTCAAACACTGTTTTTTCTCTAAGGGAATCTGCTCTGCCTAGAGACTTTTTTTCCCCCCCAGCAGGGGCTGAACTAGGGATGGGCAACGGACCCAAGAGCAGCCAATGGAGATTAACCAGAATTCAGAGGCCTGGGAAGTAAAGGCACAGGGGTGAATTAGTCAAGGTTCCTTACTCTTAGGTACTTAAACTAAAACGCAGTGCACAGCTGTCAGTCGATGACAGGCAGTGAAGCTTAAAGGTCATCTGACATTGGAGCTAAAGATGGCACGATAGCCAAATAAAAGCGGAAATTATATGCAGTAGAGAAAAAAACAAAACAAAACAAAAAAAAACCCTGAGAATGCTGCAGTCTGTACAAGATGGAAGACAAAACAAATACATAAAAAGATTCAGAGACAGAAAAATAAACACATGAATTGGCCTGAAGCCCACACCTGCAGCCCAATTTTCAGGAAGATGAGCTATGTTGCAGCTTTTGTTTTTGGAGTCCCATTTGGTCCCTGAAGTTGTCTAATAACTGCCCCATTCTCTTTTGTGGATCTGTTTGAGGGAGTCTCTGTTCTTTCCAATTAAAGTCACTTCACCACATTTTTAGTTAGAACCAGACCTAGATCCTGTTATCAGCATCACACAACATAAGCCTTTCACCCCCAGTATATATTCACTGCAATACCGTTCTGGGCTTTCCCTCCCAACACAACCTCCTAACACTGCTGTCCCTGACTGGCCATTCCCATCACATCTTCTGGAATCCTCATTCCTTTACAAAAGAACAACCTAACAGACCAAATTCTCTACAGAGGGCCCTCTCTACCTCCTAAACTCTATGGAAAAAGAAACTTAGAAGCTCATATTACTTCACATAGATGCTACAGATCCACACATGGTAATTGATTCACTGATTCCATTCTTTATCTTATGTTACATAGTATATTTTGTTTCAGCATTGGCTGTTAATGGTGAATGAAAGAAAAGACATCAAGTTTTGAATAAAATGTTATTAATGAAAAATAGAGTAAGAGACCACTGACATAAGTATAATTAAGAGCCAATTTCAAAGCCTTTCAGTAAAGACGAAAGCTGGAAATAGTCAAGTCACTTCACTTGAAGGTACTAGGAATATGTCGAACCATGTTGAATGAGGTGTAAAACCCTGATGGCAGATTCATAACTAATTTTTCTATCTTGCATCAAAGAATGTATTATAGGTTACTTGTAAGGAGTACCTCTTAACGTCTGAAATTTTGTCTTCCATTTTATTTGACCCTTAATCTTAGCTGATACTCCTTTGCTAAACTAAAAAGTCTCCAGAGTCTTCAAGTTTTATTGTATTAGCTAATTTTTATACAGATACATTCTCCAAATGTAATACTTTATTCCAATTCTACTCTCCTCAAATACTCTCCCCAAAACCTATCAAACTCAGTAGTCAAATCTCATTTTTCACCTAACTGAATACTAACTATCTCAGTAATATCTGATAGAGTTGCTCATTCCTACTTTATGAAAGGCTTTACTGGGCTTTGAGACACCATACATTCCTGTTTTAAAATCTAATTAATTAGTTGCTCTTTCACTTCTCCCTAATATCAAAGTGTTGATTTGTCACAATAATTAGATGCCATTCTTTCATTCCACTTCACTCTACTCCAATGTATTCTGTCCTGTCTATATTCATTCCCTAGGAGATCTCTTCCAGCCCTAGGATTTTAAGCACCACCAAAAACACCAATCAATTATTTCCCCAAGCCTAATTTCTCTACTCAGCTATTTAACATCTCAATTTGAACGTCTAATAAGTATCTCAACCTTCACACATCAAAGTAAATCTCTTGACTTCTCCTTAAGTATGCTCCTCTCTCTGTCTTCACCTCAGTAAATAGCACCACAATTCACCCAGCTGCTCAGGCCAAACATCTCAGCATTAACCATCTTTCCTTCCTACCCAACAATGTCATGAAATATTCTGACAGCTCTAATTTCAAAATATAACCTGGACTGGGCCACTTTTCACCATCTATACCATTCCAACCCTACTTGAAGCCTTTATCCACTCTTGCCTGGGCTGTTGTCTCTTGCTTCTATTCTTGCCACAATCTATCATCTCCATACCAAAGCACACTTACTAAAAATATAAAACATATCACGTGATTCTCCTGCCCAAAAGTCTCCAGTGACTTCCCATCATACTAAAATATTAACATGGCTGATGATCTGGTCCCTTTCTACCTCCCTGATTTCATGGTCTACCATTACCCACTTTTCGCTCCAGTAAGCCACACAGGTTTTTTCTAACTTTCTTGACGTGTAATATCCACTTAAAGGTACATAAACAGTAACAAATACAGTAGGCATACAGTTTCAATGAATTATCCAAATGAACACACCCATGTAACCAAAACCCAGATAAAAACTATCAGAAATTGCTTTATGTACCCTGTCTGTCACTACACCCTCCATCCTTCAAGAAGCTACTATCTTGACCTCTAATGAAGGATTAGAGTTTTTTTCTGGTTTATCTAGATATAAATAGAATCACAGAATATATATTACTATCTGACTTCTTTCAGTCAACATCATGTTTGTGAGATTTTATGTTGTTGTATATAGCAGTAATTCATACTTTTTCATTGTATAGCATCCCTTTGTATGAATAAACAATTTGTTAATCCATTCTAATATAAATGGCTATTTGAGTTATATCCAGTTTTGGGCTACTGCAAATAACAATTCAGTGGCCATTCTTCTGAATGTATTTTGGTCAGATATGTATCAGAAAGTAAAAGTGTCGGGATGAAGAGTATTAATCAGCTGAGTGTGGTGGCTCATGCCTGTAATCCTAGCACTTTGGGAGGCCAAGGCAGGACTGAGGTCAGGAGTTCGCACCAGCTTGTTCAACATGGTGAAACCTGTCTCTACTAAAAATACAAAAATTAGCTGGGTGTGGTGGCATGCACCTGTAATCCCAGCTACTTGGGGGGCTGAGGCAGGAGAATCACTTGAACCTGGGAGGTGGAAGTTGCAGTGAATCAGGACTGAACCACTGCACCCCAGCCTGGAAAAAGAGCAAATCTCCACCTTAAAAAAAAACACACAGAGCATTATTAACTCATTCAACTTTAAAAGATATCAAAACAATTTTCCTAAACCGCAGTACCAATTTCTACTCCACCAGCTGTATGTGAGTTTGTTGTTCTACATCCTCACCAACACTTGAAGATGTCTTTCACATTTTAGCCATTCTAATGACTATATGTTAGTATTTTACTGCAGTTTTAATTTGCATGTCCTTGATGATTAATGCAGTTGAGAGCTTTCTCAGGTTTATTAGATATCTGGGTATCCTCTTTGTGAAAGATTTGTTCTAATCTTTTGCTCCTTTTTTATACTGGATTTTGGAATTAACCAGTAGAAATTCTTTATATATTCTAGACATGATTCCCTTATCAGATGTATACCAAATATCTTTTCAGTCTGCAGCTTGCCTTTTCCCTCTTTCAAGGATCTACTGGAATGAACAGAAGTTCTCATTCTTAACACATTACAATTTGTTCATTTTGCTTATGGTACATTTAAGTAATCTTTAAGTGTACTATTTAAGTAATCCCTCCTTACTCCCTGGGACTGAAATTTTCTTTGTGAAAAGGTTTTTAAAGATTTACTTTCATTAACTGTTATGAATTCAATTTCATTAACAGTCATAGAATTAAGATGCTTTTTGCTCTGTTTAGATACATAAAAATTTGTCAATTTCATTAAAATTTTGAAATATATGAGCATAAACTTGTACATAACATTGTCTTGTAATCTTTTTAATGGCTATGGGTTCTATACTGATGTGCTATTTTTCTTTTTCTATATTTGTAACATATTTTG